CCCTGAGGTGGTGAAGCCTTGAGAAGCCCTGCAATTGAACTTCAGGTTGAAAGATAACTTCAGGGACTCTTGGAGGGGCGCCTGGGTGGCTCAGTCGTTAAGCGTCTGCCTTCGGCTCAGGTCATGATCCCAGGGTCCCGGGATTGAGCCCCACGTTGGGCTCCCTGTTTAGTGGAGAGCCTGCTTCTCCCTCTCCCACTCCCCCTGCTTGTGCTCTCTCTCTCTGTCAATAAATAGGTAAAATCTTTAAAAAAAAAAAAAAGTCAGAGTTTGAAGTTCGACCCGCTGAATTGCAATTCAGTGATCTTCCTTTTTGTTGCCTGAGTCCATGTCCTGAATCACTCCATTCACGCCACTCTGGCCTTCCTCCACAAGTACAATTTTGCCTTCATCAGGAACCATCTGTCTCCTTCATTATTTTGTTGTTCAGCCATGTTGCAAATATCTATCCAGAGCACCCCTGTGTGCCAGGAGCTCAAGGAGAACCCCTTGACGGTCTGGATCCCTGACCACAAAGCCGCTGCAGTCCCTCCTTGTAGCAACACTTTCTGGACCGAGGCTTCCCTGTCAGAAATGACTGCTTCAGGGCGCCTGGGTGGCTCAGTCGTTAAGCGTCTGCCTTCGGCTCAGGTCATGATCCCAGGGTCCTGGGATCGAGCCCCACATAGGGCTTCCTGCTCCACGCGAAGCCTGCTTCTCCCTCTCCCATTCCCCCTGCTTGTTTTCCCTCTCTCGCTGTGTCTCTCTCTGTCAAATAAATAAAATCTTTTAAAAAAAAAAAAGAAATGACTGCTTCCCTCCCTAGGAGAGATGCTTCGCTTTCATAGTTGAAATATCACTATTAACGGCGACATGAGAGAGGGACAAAACATGACAGAACTAGAGAAGCAGCCTATGGTGGACACTGCACCTCAAGACAGTGATGGGCTTTTAAAATTGAGTCAAGCAGCAGGCCAGCCACGATGCGGATGGAATTACATGTATCCCTGGGGTATTTTCCTCCAATTCATTCCACAGAACTATAGTCAAGGAGGGCCTGTGTTTTTCACCATAACTGTAAATGCTCTTGTCCAGAGAGGCACTGGCTCACATCCGATCTTTAAAGGCTCTAGTCACTATTAACCCACATGAGTCCCTAAAACGCCACAGCTACACTGGGACATCTGAGGGGGGTTGAAACAAGAAGGTAGGACTCTGGCAGTGAGGTTGTGTAACCAGCAAGGCAAAAAACAGACCAACAAAACCCCTGGCTCTGGTTTTCTTTCTTAAAGAAGGCTTAATCGGACCTAAGTCTAAGAAGATTTGTCTCAAGTTGACATTGTAGGCTTAAATAGTTCATTCTTTTACAAAAAGATATACCCATTTTCATTCCTCACTGGCTTCTGAGTTCTGTTCTCAGTGTGGAATTATTGTGATGTCGGAGAGCCTGCTGGCACTGAGCCTTCCCCAACACCCCCACTGTTCTGTTTTCCAAAAGGAGTAAAGGAAAAGCCACCAACATCGTCAGCAATGACTCCCCGTGAATAAGAAAATCCCAATGTGAGCCCCCATTTCCTTTGGAAACATGAATCAGTGTTCCTGATGTTGAAAACAGATTTCTCTAGCAACTTGTTTATTTTATAAATATTTTGATTCAGGACGAAGAATGGGGAGAGATTATGTTAAATTAATTTTACGTGTTCTAATCAAAGCATTGTCAGTGGACCATAGTTTTTAAATTACCTCTCATGTGCAGGGTACACAGCAGGTAGAGAACACATTATCTTTAATATAGAAAAGCAGAATCAGGGGGATAAAATTTTAAGGGGGGAAGATTATTTCGGCCACCATGAACTATAGAGTAACTGTAACATCTTACTCCCTGTTTTCTAAGATGCATTTGGGGAAGTAGCTATTGGAGTTATACGGAAATCTACCACGGTCCTTTAACCCACTTTGGAGCTAAGGTTGAATGTTAATTTTTCAAATAACTGGGTTTCACTAAGGAATATGGAGTAAAGGGTAATAAGACAAAATATTTTTTTAAAAGGATGAACCCTTCGGCTCAGGTCATGATCCCAGGGTCCTGGGATCAAGTCCCACATTGGGCTCCTTGCTCAGCAGGGAGCCTGCTTCTCCCTCTCCTCCCCACCTGTGCGTTCTCTGTCACTCAAATAAATAAAATCTTTAAAAATAAATAAATAAATAAATAAATAAAAGGATGAACCCAGGGGCGTTGGTGGCTCAGTCAGTTAAGCATCTGCCTTTGGCTCAGGTCATGATCCTAGGGTCCTGGAATCAAGCCCCACGTTGGGCTCCCTGTTCAGCAGGGGAGTCTGCTTCTCCCTCTCCCTTTGCGCCTCCCCCCTGCTCCTGCACTCTTTCTCTCTCTCTCAAATAAATAAAATCTTAAAAAAATTAAAAAATAAAAAATAAAAAGACAAACCCAGGGATGCCTGAGTGGCTCAGTGGGTTAAGCGTCTGCCTTCGGTTCAGGTCATGATCCCAGGGTTCTGGGATTGAGCCCGGTGTCAGGCTCCCCATTGGGCAGGGGAGTCAGCTTCTCCCTCTCCCTCTGTCCCTGCGTGTGTTCTCTCTCTTGCTCATTCTCTCAAATAAATAAAATCTTTAAAAAATTTTAAAAATTAGAATATTTTAAAAAAGGGGGGCACCTGGGTGGCTCATTCGTTAAGCGTCTGCCTTTGGCTCAGGTCATGATCCCAGGGTGCTGGGATCGAGCCCTGCATCAGGCTCCCTGCTCAGCGGGGAGCCTGCTTCTCCCTCTCCCACTCCCCCTGCTTGTGTTCCTGCTCTCGCTTTCTGTCAAATAAATAAAATCTTAAAAGAATATTAAAAAAAAAAGATGAACCCAGTAGGGGTGCCTGGCTGGCTCAGTCAGTAGAGCATGTAACTCTTGATCTCAGGGTTGTGGGTTTGAGCCCCACATTGGGTGTGGAGATTACTTAAAAATAAAATCTTAAAAATAATTTCTCCTTAAAAAAAAAAAAAGATGAACCCAGTCAAGAACAAAGAACTACACTCACCCATGTGACATATCTTCTCCTTGCTGCCCAAGATAGGAGTGGACACAGGGGGCCATGGAGAGAGAAGAACCACAGAGATGTGCAGAATGACACCAGTGGTATCCACAACCCTCTTCTCCTTCTACAGTCTCCCCTTGTGCCTAGAGAAACCTTCCAGAGGAGAAGGATTCTGAAATAGCCCAAAGTTGACAAGTTGGGACTGAAAAGAAATATAGCATTGGTTCTTCAAATGGGTGCTTAGGAAAGTTCGTTATTTGAGCACCTAAGTGGGCTACCCAAGCCTGAACATTTCCGTTGATTATCATCAGAATTCTCCTGGCTTTAACTAAGTATTCTCTCTTTATCCTTTGGCACGAATTGTGCACTAATGACGTGAATACTTGACACAAAATCCCATAAAATATTATGCTTTGGTAACTTCCTAGTTAAAATTTTCTTTCGTTTTCTTTACTGGGGCCAAGGTACAGTTTTGCCATTTGGTGGCGAAAAGACTATATTTTATAAAATACCAACGGGCAATATTTAACATAATAAACCCACAACTTACGGCAGATTTGTAAACGCATTAAATAGGCAGAAAGCAGAGGCAGATAGTGATTCTTAAAATGACATAAAAGCAAATAGTTGTTTCCCTGGAGGTATCCTGAGGTATGAAAATGCCTTTAAAGAAAAAAAATTCCCTAAGATACATATACTTGTAATAGAGTTTCTAACATGCGTAACGATGAAAGCTTGCTTACATATATTTTTAAAAAATAAAAACAAGTAAAAAGGCAAAGTTCATGGGCATTTTCTTTCACTTAGCTACTTTTTAAATTCTTGCTCTGCTATTTTATCATTAAATATGATTTAAAAAAATAGAAACCCCTCTGTAAACAGAACTTTTCTCAGCACTGTCCTTGTCATATGCTTCTATCACCCTAAATATATACATGAATATACACATATGCCATTTGCGTATGTACTTCATGCCCAGACGCCCCAGGAAATATAGGAACATGGGATAACCTGTGTATAGATTTCTCCATGATGTGAGACAAATTGAAACTAGCTTTTAAAACAGACACTTCTGGGGGGCACCTGGGGGGCTGAGTCAGTTAAGCAGCTGACTCTGGATTTTGCCTCAGCTCATGATCTCAGGGTGATGAGACTGAGCCCCATGTCAGGCTCCGTGCTCAGTGGGGAGTCTGCTTGAGA